CCCCTTCTCTCTCTCTCCCTCTCTCTCACTCTGTTCCTCTCTCGTCAAGTTAAAGTAAATAAATAAATAAATAAATAAATAAATAAAGTTAAATGAAATATTTATTTATTTGTTTGTTTATTCATTTTAATTTGACCAGGGAAGGACAGAGTGAGAGAAAAAGAAAGTGAGAGAGCAAGCCTTCAGGCTCTGGACTCGAACCACGGTCAGCCATGTGGGAGTCGAGTGCCCTTAACCACCTCACCACCTGCTGGTCCCAATAACTGTCAAGTTTTTAAGAAAGAAACTCTCTCTCGGTCTTTCCAGGTCATGGACATTCTGTGGAGTGACCCCATGGCTCAGGATGGCTGCAAGGCCAACACTGTTCGAGGAGGAGGCTGTTACTTTGGGCCGGATGTCACCGAACGGTTGCTGCAGAAATACCACCTGCAGCTCCTGATCCGGTCACATGAGTGCAAACCTGAAGGCTACGAATTCTGCCACAACCGCAAGGTGGGTGAGTCTTCTGGGGCAGCATAGGCTCATATGTCGCAAAAGCGATCCAGGCAAGCTATCAGGTGGTGCAGTGGTTAAAGCACTGGACTCCCACATGGATGACCACAGTTCGAGTCCTGGACCTAATGGCTTGAAACTCACATCAGGCATATGTGTGTGTGTGCCCCAAATCCCAAGAGCAGAATGGAAGAGAGGGGATTGTGGCATGGCTAGCCCTCCTCGGGGTTGATTTCTCACTTTCTCTCTCTCCATTTCTCTCTGTCTCTCTGGTAAGTGCATGCGCCCTATGGCAAAAATCTCCCTAAAAGAAATCGATCCACAAGTGAGTATGAGGAGGAACAGCGGTCCCTAAAGTGGGGCTGGGCTGCAAGGACTGGGGGTAAAAGGCCGTCAGGGAGCCTAAACACCCCCCATCTCTCTTTTGTTTTGATTCAGGTATTGACCGTCTTTTCTGCCTCCAACTACTATGAAGTCGGCAGTAACAGAGGGGCGTATGTCAAACTGGGGCCAGCCCTGAGCCCGCATATCGTGCAGTACCAAGCTAACAAGGCGACCCACACGCTCACCATGAGGCAAAGGCAAGACTTCGCTGAGTGGTTTTCAGAAAACCTTAGTTGTTGTTGAAACTTTGCAGTGTCAGACATCATGACACGTATCAAAATTCGAAGTAAGAATTCAGAATTTAACTGTGTCAGCATGGTGTTCTAAAGAGACATTCGAGCAGGGGTCTTTTCCTTCTCCATGTGCTTTTTTATTTTAAAAAAATATTTAATTTTATGTTTTTATCATTATTATTATTATTAATTTGCTGTAGGTCACATGCACTCACCAGAGAGAGACATGGGGTGGGGAGAACAAGAAAGTAAGTCACCAGGTCCGGGACTCAAACCGCAGTCGGCCATGTGGGAGTCCAGTGCCTTTACCACTGCACCACCCTCCACACACTCTTGCGATTTCTACTTAGCCATCATCACTGGAACATCAAACCTTTCCTACGGAGTATATTCTCCATGGCTGCCTCTTGGAAGAAGTCCCTATACCAGGCCACTGAATATTTAGTTAACTCTGTCGCTCTCATCCTTAAAAGATTTGTGTTACTTCCCATAAGTCACAGCCAAAGGTTCTTTTTCTCTTTCTTTTCCTTTTTCTTTCTTTCTTTTTTTTTTTTTTTTTTTCATTGCTAGAGTGTTCATGCACTTGCCAGACAGAGACAGAGAGAAAGAGAGAGAAGGCACCCCGGTAGAGCATAGTAACACTGCAATCCCTTCTCCCCCACCTCTCCATCCTGTCTAGATTCGGGGCACACACCTGCACCCAGTGTGTTTCTCAAGCTGCTGAGCCTGGGACTTAAACCATAGTCAGTCACGTGGGATCCAGCTTTATCTAACCACTAGGGATGGGGCCGGCGTCAGCAAAGGTTCTTTGACTATCTGGGCATTCGGCAGATGGGTTTCAGTGCACATGCTCGTGTACAATGCCCTCTTCTTTCTGGAAAGGACACATGTAATATTATTTAAAGGTTGAAATGATTCTGGGTTCTAACCTTAGTTGAGAGCTTACCGCACACTGTTACAAGGAATGTAGATATATTGTCTCATAGCAAATTTATGAAATATTGTTATTCATTTCAGATTTATAGGTCAGATCATTAAGGAATAGAGATCAAAATGGTTTGTAGTGACACAGCTAGTAAGTAGTGAAGGTTGGCCTGAACCAAGGCAGTCTTAGTTCAGAAGCCACACATCTAAGGACTATGTCATAGCGCTCCCATGAAGGAGAAGACTTCAGGATATATTAGATGCTAACAGATAGTTTTAGTGCAACTGAACAAGCTTATTTATTTATTCTAACTAAATTAAAAGTCAAAATAGACAAAGTTAGCATAACTCAGGTAGTGAGAAAATACGTTAATATTTAACATTTAACTCCTGTAAATGCTATAGCATTTTAAATCACTCTTCAGTTGTTAAATGTAGGTCAGCCTGTACTTAAAGGAAGCACTCTGTAAAAATTCACTAAGTGGGGGCCAGCAGGTAGCGTGGTGGTTAAGGGCGCTGGATTCCCACATGGTCGACCACAGTTCGAGTCCCAGAATTGATGGCTTGCTTTCTCGCTTTCCCTCTCTCTCTCTCTCTTTCTCACTCTGTCCATCTCTGGTCAAATTATAAATAAATAAAGTGAAGTAAAAAATATATATATTTTTTAAATTCACCAACTGAGAGTCAGTCCTGGGCCACAACATTATCCGTGAAGCTTCATTTAAAAAAACAGCCTTACTGAGTTAGGCTCTCCACGGATGGGCCCCACGCTGGAACACCGTGACCCTATAGGATTTAGATGTTGTAACTACCAGAGGAGTCACTGTAGAGAATCCTGTAAATAGTGTGTTTTAATAAGAGAATCAGAGCATTCAGCTCTTTGAAATTGCATTAAATAGGGGCCGGCAGGTGGCATGGTGTTTAAGGGCGCTGGACTCCCACATAGCTGACCATGGTTTGAGTCCTGAACTGGCAGCTTGCTTTCTCACTTTCTCCCTCTCTCTCTCACTCTGTCCCTCTGTGGTCAAATTAAAATAAATAAATAAGGGGCCGGCAAGTGGCATGGTGGTTAAGGGCGCTGGACTCCCACATGGCCAACTGTGGTTCAAGTCTCGGACCTGGCGGCCTGCTTTCTCACTTCCTCCCTATCACTCTGTCCCTCTCTGGTAAAATTAAAATAAATAAATAAAGTTATTTAAAAAAAAGAAAAAGCAAACAAAAACTATATCATCTGTTTCTTTAAAAAAAATAAAGTTAAATAAAAATAATTATTTTAAAAAATTGCATTAAATAAGTACAAATCACTTGATTTCCCCAGCAGTCACCCAGCTGCTTCACTCATCTGTAGCACAGTGGAGAATCTAGAAACACAGGTGGGTACTGGTCAACACAAGTGGTGGCTAAGGCATCCAGGCCCTACCTGGTTGGCCATGTGTCCACTCTGGCCTTAGCAGCTAGAAAAACACGCCAGATGCTTGTGCGTGCTCCAAGTCCCGACAGGATGGAGAACGATGGAGAAGTGATCACACCCCATTGTGAGTGCTTCCTCCCTCTTCCCCTCTCTCCCTCGCTTTGTCTGCTGAGTACATGCGCCCTTTGGCAAAAAAAAAAAAAAAAAAAGATCCTTGAGCATCCACGATTGACATCTTAATGTCCATAAACTCAAGATTGTGTGCTTTTCCTAGATGAACCCATTTACTTTCTGTGTAAATCTGCTTTTCACAATAGTACTTTTTTTTTTTTAAAAAAATAAAAGACTTTCTATCAGGCTTGTGTGCTTTCTAGAAAGACAGAGGGAGACAGAAAGCCAGAAATCATCCCCAGGGGGATGGCCATGCCACAATCCCTTCTCCTCCATTCTCATCTTGGGATCTTGGGATCTTGGGCATGCACACTCACACGCCCAGCGTGAGTTTAAGCCACTGGGTCCGAGTCTTGAACCACAGTCAACTACGTAGGAGTCCAGCGATGTAACCATTACGCCATCTGCTGGTCCCCCGCTTTTCACAATAATAGCATAGCCAGCCTGGCGTCCACCAGGCTCCTTGTTAGCTACGTGACCTTAAGCTAATTACTTAGCTCCGTCTGTGAAGGGTGTGACAGGCGTGATGCTCACACCACGGGAATTGAGAGATTAATGAGACAATCCGCTTGGAACGCTGCATTTAGTACGTGCGTAACATGTGCTTCTAGACTAGGGTCAGAGAGCCATGCCCACCCAGACGGCTTTGGAGGGCATTGCCACCCTCCATCCCTGAGTAACTATTAATAACAACAAACTGCCAGGGAACAGTTGAAACGCTTTGACAAACTAGGGGCCAGAAGGTGGTGTGGAGGTTAAGGCGGCCGGATCTCATGTGACTGACTGCGTGGTTCAGGTCCCAGACCCAGTCATTTGAAAAACATGCTTGGTACATGTGCATCGGTGCCCAAAATCCCTGGAGGACAATGAAGAGAAGAGTTTGTGATGTGGCCATGCCCCCCGGGGACGGGGAGGTGAGGCGATTCTCACTTTCCCTCTCTGTCTCTCTCCACTAAAAACCAGAAATAAATAAATAAATAAAAAAAAGTTGTTTTGGCAACTGTTAGTTGCCAAACTAGCAGTTCTTAAAATTTTAACAGGTGTCATAGTTTTTTTTTTTTGTATTTTTTATTTTTTTTCCAGCTTCTAATAGAAACAAACTCTCAGGGCCAGCAGGCAGCGTGGTGGTTAAAATGGCTAGACTCCCACACGGCTGACCATAGTTCATGTCCTGGACCTGGCAGCTTGCTTTCTCACTTTCCTTGTCTCTCTCTGGTCAACTTCAAAAAAATAAAAATAAAAAAAATAAAAATAAATAAAATAATGACAACGAATAATAATAATAAAAAATACTCTCTTGAGCAAAGGCACCTATGCTCACATACTCATCAAATTTAGGATGAGTTTTAGGTGGTTTACACTTTTTAAGGGTCTGTGGAGCCCCCTTAAGGGCTGTTAGGTTAAAGACCTTAAACTGCCTTAAAAATGCTCATGAATTGTGAGCAGGGATTTGTTGAACTCTTATTTTGACCCAAGTGCTGTGTCCAGCTTACTCTAGTGACCCAGTAAGAATGAAAAAACAAAACAGGTGTTATTTCGTTACTCGTAAACCTTACCGTTGGAGTGCTTTCGGTGTGCCCAGCTTTCTTCTCAGAGTCGTACATGAATGTAATACTTGTTCAGTTTTCACAATAATCCTGTGGGGCAGGTCCCATCGTATCTCTGTTCTACAGATGGCACAGCTGAGGCTCGATAGGATTAGCTAACGTGGCCACAAAGGTGACCTTTCTTCAGCACTTCTGACCATTCTCTGAGACCAGGAAGGACAGCGGCATCCCCCAGCCATTTTACACCTGTATTTGTGTAAAACAGGAACAGTGAGGGAGCAGGGGGAAAGAGACAAGACAGAGCTCTTTCCATAAAAACCGAGTTCTTCTGAGAGAAAGATGTTACAAGGAGAGAGGAGAAATGTTAATAAAACCCATAAAACCCATTGCTATTTCTTTTGTTCTAACTAAGATGTTCCTTTTCTGCTCCTGTCTGGCCCAGGATTAGCAGAGTAGAGGGGTCAGCTCTGAGAGCTCTGCGGGAGAAGTTATTCGCACACTCTTCGGATCTTCTTGGTGAATTTAAGAAACTTGATGCAGATGAAACTGGTAAGGCTAATCAAGATTCATTGATGAAGGATGCTAGCCAGGAAGTCTCTGTCTCAAGGCCAGAGCAGGTGGCACGGTGGGTAGGGCAGCTGGATCCCGCATGGCCAATTACTGGTTTGTTGGAAAAGTCATGACGTATTTTTTCTGTGCAAAAATGCATCATGACTTTTTCTGATGACCCAATACATGGTTCAAGTCCTGGACTTGGCAACTTGAAAAACATGCCAAGGGAGCCAAAAAGTGGCGTGGTGGTTAAGAGTGCTGGACTCCCACATGACCAACAACGGTTCAAGTCCCAGACCTGGCGGCTTGGTTTCTCACTTACTCTCTCTCACTCTGTTCCTCTCTGATCAAATTAAAATAAATAAATAAATAAATAAATAGGAACAAACAAACAAACAAACGTGCAGATCTGTTTGCATGTGTTCATAAACTCCCAAGAGGAGAATTGAGGAAAAGGGATTTCAGCTGATCATTCCCATAGAGGGTGCTTTCTCACTTTCTCTATCTCTCTGTCTCTGATAACACACACAATATAGCAAAGAAAAGAAAAAGTCTCTGTCTCACAGCAATTAGCAGATACTTGTTGAGTGAATTAATGACCAAATGACCAAAAGTCTCCCTTTGATTACTTCTTCCATTTAATGACCCATTTATTCTTTCAAAATGTTTTAATTCTAAGCTTTGCACAGAATATAAACTTGGTTAAATATTAGTAGAGATGGGACCACCAGTTAACGTAATGGCTATGTCGCTGAACTCCCATGTAGTCGACCATGGTTTGAGTCCCAGACCCGGTGGCTTAAACTCACACTGGGCGCATGTGCGTGCCTGCCCAAGATCCCGAGAGGAGAATGGAGGAGAAGGGATTGCGGCGTGACCATCCCCCCCTGGGAGGTGATTTCTCGCTTTCTGTCTCTCTGTCTTTCTGGTGAGCACACTCATCCTGTAGCAAAAACCTCTCAAAAAAAAAAAATATATATATATATTAGTAGAGATGATGAGAAGAAATGGAGTCAAGGGAAGGGTGACAAGGTCAGACAGACGAAGAACAGGTGGGAGAGGTTAAAGAGTCTAAGACTAGCGAACCAATGACCTAACTGTGGTTGAATACGTGCTTACCTGTTTCGCGTTCTATTGTCCAAACTAAAAAAATCCATTGGCACTCAACCCAGTGGAATATCTAATTGACATGAGCTAAATATAGCCCTATTTTAAAATATTAATAGCAGTGACATTTATAAATTCATATCAATATCTTTTCATGCACACATAGCCTTCCAAAAATTTTGGTAGATAATATATCCTAAGGAATGTAGGAACGTTAGTGTTTTTTAAACAACCAATGCTATATACATATGTGGGTACAGAAAGTTTGTAGAAAATGGAATTAAAATACAAATTTATGGGCCCAGCAGATGGTAAAAAGGTTATGTTGCTGGACTCCCATGTAGTCGACCACAGTTCAGGTCCTGAACCTGACTGAAAACTCATGCTGGGCACATGTGCATATGTGTTCATCATCCTGAGAATGGAGGAGAAGGGATTGTGGCATCACCATCCCTTCTAGGGGGAGTGGAATCTAGCTTTCTGTCTCTCTATCTCTTTGGTGAGCGCACATACCCTATAGCAAAAATCTCTCTAAAAAATTACAAGTTTCTTTTGGTGCAAAAAAGAATGAAATCTATGCATAATTTCATAGACTGTGTATTTTCCATGAACTTTTTGGAGACGCCTCCATATAAAATTCTGTGGTATTATTTATAAGAGTCTTCTGTGGCTTCCTATAGTGTTGTCAGATTTGCTAAATGAAAATCAGGATCCTTAATTGTTTGAATTCTCTAATTCTTGAATTAGAGATAGACGAACAACAAATAATTTTTATGTAGTATTTGGTACATGAGTATACTTTGTTGTTTGTCTGAAATTCAAACGTGATCTTGTATTTTATCTGGCAAGCCTCATTTCCAGCCAATAGCCACAACCAACAATAATAGTGACAGTGGGGGCTGGTAGGTGGCACAGCGGTTAAAGCACTGGATTCCCAAATGGCCAACCATGATTTGAGTCCCTAACCTGATGGCTTTCTTTCTTTCCCTCTCTCTCTGTGTCTCTCTCTTCCTGGTCAAATTAAAACATATTACTATTTGGGACCAGCAGATGACATAATGATTATGTTGCTGAACTCCCATGTAGTCTACTGCAGTTCAAGTCCTGGACCTAGCAGCTTAAAACTCATGCCACGTGCATGTGCTTACATGCTCAAAACCCCAAGAAGAGAATGGAGAAGGGATTGAGGCATGGCCATCCCCCTGGGGAGTGATTTCTCACTTTCTTTCTCTTTGTCTCTCTGTCTTCCCAGTGAGTGCATGCACCCTATAGCAAAAATCTCTCCTTAAAAAAAAAAGAAAAGAAAAAGAAGTAATAATAAAGAAAATTAAATAAATATTTTTTTTTTCCTTTTTTGGGGAGGTTTTTACTATAGGGTGTGTGCACTCACTAGAAAGACAGAAAGAGACAGAGAGACAGAAAGCGAGAAATCATCCCCCAGGGGGGATGGCCACGCTGTAATCTGTCCTCCTCCATTCTCCTCTCAGGATCTTGGGCACGCATGCACACACGCCCAGTGTGAGTTTAAGCCACCGGGTCTGGGACTCAAACTGCAGTTGACTACATGGGAGTCCAGTGACACAGCCATTACGCTAACTGCTGGTACCAAATAAATATTTTTTTAAAAAAATAGTGACAGTGCCAATTATTTCTGTTGTCTACAGACAGTAAGAAGAACGTCAGGATAAAATTGTACACACTGATGGGCAAAAAATTAGCTTTATAGGTGCTGAATCAACAAGCTGCCTCTTCCTGTAGGTCTCATCTCCCTGGACGACTGGGCAGAAGCTGTGGAGGCCGCGCTGCACCTGGGGCTGCCATGGAGGATGCTGAGGTCACAGCTGGTGAACAGCTCCACAGCTCCCATGCTGGAGTACAAGTCCTGGTTGGAGGACTTGGCCAAAGAGCAGCTGAGCCGCGAGGTAATGGCGTGGTAAGGGGCTGAGAGCATGCTGAGGCCTAGGAAGCCCCCTGTGGCAAACTCTGAGTCAGAAACAACCAACTATTCAGAACCCAAAGGCAGGACGGGAGAGAAGGGGAACAGCTCTTTGTTGAGTTGCTACGGGTCAGACTCTGCATTAAGAGATTTATGTATGTTGCCTTGGTTATCCTCATAACTACCCCAAGAGGTAGGTGTAGGTATTGTCCAGGCCATAATATTGGGTTGTCAGAAAAGTCATGACATATTTTTCCGGTTTTCTATGCAAAAATGGGTCATGACTTTTCCGACAGCCCAGACCTTATGAGGACACCGCCCACAGAGGTTAGGAGACTTGCCTGGGATCATAGAATTTCTATGTCATGGCTCAAACCCAGATATGTCTGACTTTAAGGCCTGTTTTCTGTCCTTGATGCCTTGCTGTGCACCCCATTAAAAAAATTCCTGGGGCAGAACCAGTAGCTAGAGCAATGGTTACATCCCTGGACTCCCTTGTAGTCGACCGTGGTTCAAGTCCCAGACCAGGCAGCTTAAAACTCACACTGGGTGTGCGTGCATGGTGCCCAAAATCCTCAGAGGAGAATGGATTGTGGCATGGCCATCTCCCTTGGGTGGTGATTTATCGCTTTCTGTCTCTGTCTCTCTGGTGAGTGCACGTACCCTAGAACAACAATCTCTCTTAAGAAAAAAAGAAATTACTGGGGCTGACAGGTAGTATGGTGGTTGAGATGCTGGACTCCCATATAGCTGACCATGGTTCAAATCCTGAACCCAGCAACCTGAAAATCACAAGAAATAAATAGATAAATAGTTTTAAAAATAATTACTCAATAAATGTTCATTGAAGAAGTAATATATGCGAGACCTTGGGCTAGATACCTTTATTTTTAACAGCTTTGTTGTAATATAATTCACGTCTTTCAGTTAACCCATTGACAGTCTACAACTCTGTGGATATACTGTATTTATAGGTCTGTGCAGCCGTCATCACAAATAATTTTAGAACATCTTCATCATGAGCTGTGTACTTCTTTTTTTAGAGAGAGAGATTTTTGCTATAGGGTGCATGCACTCAGGGGATAGACAGAGAGAAAGCAAGAGAGAAATCACCCCCAGGGGAGATGACCACTCCATAGTCTCTTCTCCTCCATTCTTCTCTTCGGATTTGGGGCATGCATGCATATGCACCCAGTGCGAGTTTGAAGCCACCAGGTCCAGGACTCAAACCACGGATGAGTATTATGCCAGCTATTGGTCCCAAGCTATGATGGTCCCAAGCTACTTACTTCTGAAACCATTAGATGATTTGGTAGGCTGAAGGGGGCTGAGGTGTGAGAGGATGGTTAAAATATCTTAGAGTTTTTTCATGAGTGTGTGATTATGAGAGTTGGTTATGTTAATTGTTATTAGGAATTTGTATGTAGTATTATGTATTAGGAGAATCTTAAACATAAGACAGAGAAGGAAAGTGGGTTTTTTCTTGCAGAACATACAGTCAAGCTTGCTGGAAACACTGTATCGGAACCGATCCAACCTGGAGACCATTTTTAGGATCATAGATAGTGATCATTCAGGTAAAGCACCCCAATTATCTGCGCAGCAGATAATTTACCTTGAACCCCTTAGTCTTCTTCCTGCTCTATCTCCACACAAGTACGTTGGAAGTATCAATACTACCAATGCTTATAAATGGCGGATACTAGGAAAGTACTTGGACAGTAGAGATCGTCCAGACAGAAAGGGGTGGGACAGAGAAGACTGAAGATGACCTAGGTAAGAGCAGAGAGATAGAGAGACAGAGATGGCACCCCTAGTAGGGTCTTGAGACTCCCATTTACCCCAGCCTCAGCCAGCCCCTGACCATGAGTACACACATGCCCAGCATACTCAGGAAGGTTTCCAGAACCCAGGACCTTCTGATGGGAGTTAGCCTCACATACCATCACATTATCATTTTGTTTTGTTTTTAGTTTTACTATAGGGAAACAGAGGGAAAGTGAGAAATCACCCCTTGGGGATGGCTATGGTGCCATCCCTTCTCCTCCACTCTTCTCTAAGGATTTTGGGCATGCACACCCATGCACCTGACATGGTTTTCAAGTCCCTGGGTCTGTACTTGAACCATGCAGGTGGCCATGTGAAATCCAGCGCCTTAACCTCAACGGCACATGGCTGGCCCACAGAGCATCCCATTTTACCACCGCATCAGTGTCCAGCTCCCAGGAAGAACAGTTATTGACGCTGTTAGCTGATGCTATTGATGCTCATAGTTCCATCCAGGATAGCCACACAGTGATGAAGGGTGCCTAGAGCACAGACGACTTTGCAGTCTCACTCCCAAATCTACTTTATTGTTTTTTAATTGCCGGAGGATGTGAGTGCCTGCCAGAAAGGCAGAGAGGGACGAAGCACCCACACTAAGGCACGGACACACAGCAGCCTCTTCTGCTTCATTTCGCCATGCTGTCAAGGATTGGAAATCCATGCCCATGCGTCCCATATGGTTTTTTTTTTTAACTTAAAAAAAAATTTTAAAGAATTATTTATTAAGTTAATTCTATTTGTTGTTATTATTATTTCTTTAATTTGTCCAGAAAGAGAAAGGGAAAGGGAGAAAGCAAGCCACGGACACACAGCAGCCTCTTCTGCTTCATTTCGCCATGCTGTCAAGGATTGGAAATCCATGCCCATGCGTCCCATATGGTTTTTTTTTTTAACTTAAAAAAAAATTTTAAAGAATTATTTATTAAGTTAATTCTATTTGTTGTTATTATTATTTCTTTAATTTGTCCAGAAAGAGAAAGGGAAAGGGAGAAAGCAAGCCACCAGGTCTGGGTCTCGAACCACAATCAGCCATATGGGAATCCAGTGCCTTTAACCACCACCCCACCCACTGGCCCCATCTCATATGTTTTTCAAACTGCTCTGGCAAGGAATTGAACTGCAGTCAGCTATGTGGGATCTGGCTCCCTTAACCACTAAGCCACAGGGTTGGCTGCATAAAACATTTTTAAAAAGAAAAATAAAACTCTTTTAAATATAAGAATAATTATAGATTTATAGTAAATTACAAAAAAATGTACAGGTAAATTCTGTATACTACCACTCTCTTCCCATGGTGATTCAAAGGTTTTTTATTTTTCTTCAGAGAGAGATTTTTGCTTATAGGGCACATGTGCTCACTGGAGAGACAGAGGGAGACAGAGAGACAGAAAGTGAGAAATCACCCCCCCCAGGGGGGATGGCCATGCCGCAATCCCTTTTCTACTCTTCTCCTCTTAGGATTTTGGGCATGCACACACATGCGCCTGACATGAATTTTAAGCCACCAGGTCCAGGATTCGAACCATAGTCGACTGTGGGAGTCCAGTGATGTAACCATTACACCATCTGCTAGTTCTTTTTTCTTTAGATTTTTACCATATAGCACGTATGCTCACCAGAGAGTGACAGAGACAGAGACAGCGGGAAAGTGAGAAATCTCCCCCCCCCCGCCCCTGGGGGATTGACCATACTACGATCTCTTCTCCATTCTCTTCTCATGATTGTTTTCTAGAATTATTTTTTATTTAATTTAATTAATTTATTTATTTTTATTTGACTAGAGGGGGACAGAGCAGGGGAGAGAGAGAGAAAGTAAGAAAGCAAGTTGCCAGGTCCAGGACTTGAACCGTGGTCGGCCACGTGGGAGTCCAGCGCCCTTAGCCAGCACGCTCCCTGCCAGCCCCATCCTCTCGGGATTTTCCACATGCGCACGTCCATGCCCAGTACGTTTTTCCTGCTGGGCCAGGACTCAGACCCTGGAGTCGGCCATGTAGGATCCAGCACCTTATGCAGCACTTTTCCTGCAGGCCCTCAAAGTTTTCCTCAATGTCGGAGCTCTCTCTCTTTTCCTTTGAGGGCCAGTTCAATACCGTGTGATTCACTCATTAAAGTGTTGAATTCGGTGGTTTTTAGCATATTCACCATTCAGTGGATGAATGGTTGCCAGAGACTGGTGGAAGAGGGATAGAAAATGAGGGGTGACTGCTAACGCACCTGGCATGAATTTTCTTTTTGAAAGTCGTGAAAATGTTCTAGAATTGCATAATGGTGGTGGTTGCAGGACCTCATGAACATGGGTAAATTACACAGTACGTGCAGTGTACCTCAGAAAAGTAATAACAGTAACATTGATAAAAAATCTTCGGACCATTGCGGGAACAGAGTGAGAATGTACAAGCCCTCCCTGCATGTTTTTTTGTTTCTTTTTTTGTTTTATAGCTTCCTATCAATCCATAATTATTGCAAAATTTTTTTTTTTAATTTTAATGCTTTGGGAGTGGGGTACTCTTCATTATGGCTAGCTTTAATGGAACAAAAAGTGATAGCTCACCTTCTAACAGTTATTGTTCCTGTAAGAATCCTTTGTTTGGGGCTCCTCTCGGGCCACGTAGGATGTGAGTGGCACCCCTGGTCTTTATCTACTGCATGCCAGCGGCATCCCTCCCCCACCTCGGTCATGACACCAACATGGTCTCCCGACATTGCCAGAAGCACCCTGGAGGGAGGGGAGCAAAATTGCTCTCAGCTGGTGACCCTGTGGTTTCATGAGAGCCTCTTGGGAGTTTAAATAGACTAGATTCTAGGCGGTGGGTGTCTTTGCCTGTTGGACAGGAGAGAGCAGGTACCCCAGTGAGAATGCTGGAGACAAAGGTTGAAAAGGGCTGACTCACCGGAGTGACTTCCTCCCTCCTGTAAGGCTTCATCTCGCTGGACGAGTTCCGGCAGACCTGGAAGCTGTTCAGCTATCACATGAACATGGACGTCCCGGATGACTGCATCTGCGACCTCGCTCGGAGCATCGATTTCAACAAGGATGGCCGCATCGACATCAACGAGTTCCTGGAGGCCTTCCGCCTGGTGGAGCAGTCCTGCTCGGAGGGCGACGGCTCAGGTTGTCCGCAGGCTGAGGACACTCCTGATGGCGGTGGCAGTCCAGGGACGTGCTAGGAACGGCCTGGGCTCGGGGCCCAGAGTGCCTTACAGGCAGTGCTGAGCTTGTGGGAATATCTCCCTCCTTCCCTATCGACCGTGGAAATTTACGCTGAGAATTCGCCTACCCATAAGTACCAGAATTGCCTGTGTCCTTGGGTGTGGCATGTGTGTGTGTGTGTGTGTGTGTGTGTGTGTGTTTGTATCTGTGTTTTTAAGTACATAGATGGCCCTGCTCCGTCTCAGAATCTTCACACAGTACAACTCAGATAAAGGAACTGTATTTGAAAATTCTTAAGTCTATTCCAATTAAGAACCACTGATAATCCAGCCCCCGATTGCTTTTGTTTTACACATTTTATTTATTGTTTTTAAAATGTCCTATTGGTTAAGGAAAGTTATGAAAAATAGTATGTGTAATGCCATGACCGACACATGGATTTTTTTCGTTATTTACTTTTTCTTATTGTAACTGTAGTATTTATATGATTTTATGTTCTGCCTCTTTTATAAATTCAGATCTAATTGGAAGCACTTTCTCATGTTGCTAAATAGTTTTTTTTGTTTTGTTTTGAGAAAGATTTATGCTATAGGATGTGTGTGCTCGCTGGAGGGATAGAAAGCAAGAAATCATCCTCCAGCGAAATGCTGCAATCCCTTCTCCGCCATTATCCTCTCAAGATTTGGGGCATGCACGCACACATGCCCAGGGTAAGTTTCAAGCTATCAGGTCTGGGACACTCTGAAGAATGCCAAAGTTACATGTACAGAGACATTCTGGAACTTGTAAAAAAAAAATGGGAAAAAAATGGAATCTATGTCTAAGTCCATTAGTGAAGGCTGGGGTGAATAAATGCCTCCATTCTTTTTTTTTTTTTTTTTTTTTTTTGAGAGGTTTTTGCTATACGGCACATGTACTTGCTAGAGAGACAGACAGAAAGCGAGAAATCACCCCCTGGTGGGGATGGCCACACTACAATCCCTTCTCCTCCATTCTCCTCCCAGGATCTTGGGCACGCATGCACATGCGCCCGGTGTGATTTTAAACCAGGAGGTCCGGGACTCGAACTGCAGTCAACTACATGGGAGTCCAGCGACATAACCATTACACCAACTGCTGGTCCAGAATAAATGCCTCCATTATACGAAGTACTAAGCCTCTACTAAGGAGTGATCTTTCAGGAGCTGCCGTTATTCTGGGCTGTTTTACATGAGCCGCACTTGGTAGTCAAAGGTGCTACAGGAAGGAGTGAAATTTTGTAAATAAATCTAATTTCTAAATCTATTAGTGTTCAGTATCGTTTGAGGTTTTTCTTATGAGCAGGGTTACTTTTGTCATTTAAAATACATGTCTTAAAATCAACCTAGTTCGATGTCCCTTTTTAGAAAGGGCCAAGGCACCTCAGTAAAATATTTTTCAAATCCACTAGAGGCCGCTCTGAGCAAACGAGCTACGTTGTAAGAGCAGCTGCTAGAAAATGCTGATCCCTTGTCACCAACTACAACCGCTAGAATTCGCTGCGTTATTTGGTCGCAGGAAGACGAGAACCTGGGGACGGGGTAGGGGGAAAAGGGGGAGGGAAGAGTTTCACCTGCCTGCGCTGGTGCCGGGCGCCGAGAATGCGGGAGGGAGAGGCACAAACGCGCACCATGGAGGACGCCTGCCCGGGGCAGGGCTACACCTGGACCCGGATTTTGAAAAGGGATCCTTATCCTCCCAAGCAGAAACTGGGCTGCAGTCACGCTCATAGTCACCCAGGGTCCTTCTTAATGCTGGGCCATGAATTTATGTGTATTAGTGCCTAATCTTGACAATTGGTTATGTTCCATTTTTTTTCTTTTTCTTTGATTTCTCTTTTTTATTTATTGATTTGTTTTTATTTTGATTTTTCTGTGATAGTCAGCAGGCAGCAAGTATGCTGGCCTGACAGCGAGATGAGGATAGAGACAGAGCACCTGTAATGGGGCATGATCATGCCGCTGTCTCTTTTGCGTTTCTCCATCCTGTAGAGATTCCGGGCACGGGTTCACGCAGCTTTCAAGCCTGCTGGGCAGGATTTGAATGGTGGTCTGCCACGTGGGATCAGGCTCCCTTAACACTAGGCTCAGGAGCTGGGCTTCTTTCCAAAATGTTTACCTTTATACAAAACATTCTAGCACCTAGGAAGGAGTTGTGGGGGAAACAACCCAGATTTAATCAAGTTTCTAGATTTACCTATTACATTATAGGGCTACGGGGCCCAGAGGAGCATGTGAAATGCCTGGAGATCATGGATGGCAAAATCCAAACCACGTGGACGCTACAGGATAATTGACCTGGCTCCTTTAACAAATATACTTACAAGGATGAACACAAATAAATGGAAAAGAAATTGATTAAAAGAGGCTTAGGAGGGACCAGCAGTTGGCATAAGGCTATGTCACTGGACTCCCATGTAGCCGACCGCGATTCGAGTCCTGGACCCAGTGGCTTGAACTCACGCTGGGTGCGTGTGCGTGCATGCCCAAGATCCTGAAAGGAGAATGGAGGAGAAGGGATTG